GTTACAAAAAAATATTTTATATACCAATAATTATATCTCATGTTGAATAGAACAAGAGTTTTGTAAATATTTTATTCTTGATTTAGAATATAGTATCAAAATTATAACATGTACGTCTAACAATTTATAATATTAGTACCGAACAGTCAATCTTAAATCTTATCTATAACGTATAATATATATGTAGGTTCGAAATGGTTAGCATTTAAGGGCGAAATGAATAATTAATAGGCGAGTATAAGGTGTTTGGATGTTCTGAAGGAGAAGAGTGCGGCGCGTTTTGGTCCCTCCATTGTTGTCGGCCTCTTCTCGGTAATTGCGCAGAACGTTGTCTTCTTTGTGTTGCCGGATTGCCTTTCAACCAATACGGGAAGACTCAATAGACATCGCTAAGTATTCCATTTACTGTTCAATGGTACAGATGAAGGCAAGGCGATATCTTATATTGTCCCTCTTTTTTTCGCTGTTTGCCTCAAATGGGAACTAGGAAAAAGTGAGAATCCTGTTAACTTAACACCCCCAAAGATAAAGTTTTATTTGAGTTTCCTCATTTAACCATTGCGTATCAACCAATTTTCAAAAGAACAAAAACTACTTTTGATCTATGTAAATTATATATGATCGCAGGTTTTGATGAAAAAATATATGTCTGATCGTAATAATATGAAAACGTCATAGAACTGGGAAGGCCTTAAAAACGAATGATTCATACATAGTTGCCACAAAAACACCAACATTTCATCGCCTTATCCGAGTTGCTCGTAAAATAAGCTTTTTATTGCTATAAAGGTGTGTAGGGCTTGAGGTTAGCGGTTAATGTTTAAGTTTACCTGTGAAAGCTTTACACAACCGTCAAAAAGTATTTTCATCTACCAGTAGCGTATCTAAGGTCAGTTAACCGTGTAAATTCAAGCCCCAAATCACAATATATTTCTTTTTTTTACTTATTCGGGGCCTCACTCCATATATATAACAAGGATATTTTGAAAATCTGACTAATTTACAAATTCAAGCTGTACTTGAATATTACTGAATAATATAAGTAAGTGTGCCTATTTAATGCGCGGTTACAAAAAACGGGAGCTTTAAACACGGTTCATGAAATGTATTTGTGCGGCATCTCGGGAGTAATATAATATACACTTGAGAAACAAAAAATGAACGGAAAGGAGAAAATGTGCGAGCAAGAAGGAGTGAGAGCGTAGAAGAAGTTGAGGTGAGGGTGTTTATTTGAATGACCCTTAAAAAAGTGTAATGGTCCTATCAAAGCCTGCTCAATAAAACTTATGTTTATTTAGGGCGCATCTTAGGGTCTCATTAGTGCCCTCTGTTAATTTATTATGTAGCGTACAGAGCAATGCTTGAAAGGTGAAGGGTAGCGAAACATTGTTAACATGGTGGGATTGAGGGTGGTTTGTCCGGTCCTTTCCTTGAGATTATGGCGACGTGTATTCCTGCGGTCATATCGCAACCCGACAGCTTACTGAGCGAACATTCCTAACCAAAACCACACAAGTCTTGACGTAAACAATGCAATTACTAATCCACTACCACTGCCACAGTTTACAGATCAATGCCAAAACTAAAATCAATTAACTAACATGAATTAACGCGCCTACGCACACCAACTTCCTCCCATTTCCTTTGCTTCGAACATTTCCACCCTGATTAATATCGTACGCACATATCGCAGTCGCTGGAGGCCATTTTTGATGTATTCCTTGTGAGAAATGTAATTATCGCAGTTAATATAATCCTTGATCGTCTGACACACCCAAGCGAAATATAGGTATTCTCATGGAGATTTATGCTAATAATAAGTAATTACATCTATAATCATCATCTGCTATGATTATTATTGTTACTAATGATGTTTCATTATATCGACAGAAACCGAAATCAGTCGAATTAACCGCAGACGTAATAAAGTTTGTTGCATAATATTGCTTGTTTATAATTAAATTTCATTGTAAAAATGTGTTTATAAAATATATGGTATAGGCAACAAACAAATGAAAGCAATAAAAGCAAGTAAGTGAATTATAAATATAATTTAATGTAATAGCTATACCATAATAATAAGCAGTTCGATAAGTAATAACATCAATAAAGATAAAAAAAACTAACAATTTAAGAACAATCTTCGAGTAAATCATAATACTTTTGATGATGTTAACAGTCAATCGATCACACAAGAAGTTTTAATTCCACTGTTCAAGTTTAGAAGTTCGTCTTTGGCCAATCAGAGTTGACTTAGTTGTGAAATTAAACTAATACCTGTTCGTGATGGAATTAGTCCATCAATGATTAGAATAGTCTGTAGTTGAAGGATGCATTGTAAGGAGCCAATCCGATATTTGCACACAATTCGGGTAGACCGTATATCTGAGATCTTTGATTGAACAACTGAGACATCGTTCGTCTGTTATCCTGGGATTTGGTATTTCTATAGACTGAACCGGATCCTTGTGCATCGTCGGAATACAGTGCGAATACACTGCGAAAGCAAATTATCGAGGACGTAAGCTGAGCGTAAGGTGGTAACACGCGACAGAATCAAAATGATTGGCATTCGAGATGCGACAAGAACTGATCGATCCATATTTTCAAATACAATGGAACCTTAACTTGTTTAATCCGTTAAAAAAATTCCGGATTTTTAGTCGTATAGTGAAACACGTTTTCTCATATAAACTAATGTAAATTACGATAATGCGTTCCTTGCCGAAGAAAAAAGGATAACATGGTCTCGATTTTTAATGATTTTGCTTTTCATATCTATGGTTCTTTTAATTCTTTGGCTTTTTATTCGGAGACATGCACAATTTTGTACAAAAAATACACAAATAAAATGTAAACACAAGTTTGGAAATTTCGTGATCACAAACAACACTAAGATGCAACTAGAATGTTCAATAACACTAGGAACTGTTTTCCGATTCTCACACGGTGAAGTTTATATTTGTTTATGTTACTTGTATCAATTCGGCGACTTAGTGGAATTATTTTATAATGCTGTATCCATACTATATATGAAACGATATATAAATATTTTTGCAGGAAGACTTCCAAAGACTACCAAATACTAAAATATTAGTATATAAATATATTTATTATTGTAGGTCAATAGGTACTAAATCTATCATCTTACAAATGAAATAAATATTTCTGTCCGGAGGCCATGTATCATGTTCCAGATAATGATGAAATGATGCATTAAACATCGTGCATTTATCTCGTTACGTTTCCTTGCGAAAAGATTTATTGCATCATATCATCAACATATTTATGATCATTTATTTAAAAGACTAAAACATCTACTGTTCTTATATTTTTGCGTATTTAAAAAGATAACTTAAATTTAATTAATTAAATGAAAAAATGTATAAATTTGGCAGCAACATTGTTTATATACTGTATTTACCACCCTTCTTAAAATAATGTTTTAACTTACATTATTTGACTATAGTGATCTGATTTTCCTCACATTTTATAAGAATTCTGAATGATATTGAAAATATAATTACAAAATAAAAAATATTGAAAGGGAAGCAAGATAATGATGCGCAATAATGTCACATTGTATTTTGTTAAAATATTAATTTGTTTGTTAGAACTAAGCACAAACTGACGTAATGCCAGTTTTAGCACGATTAAGAGAAAATTTGGGACAATCATCATTTTGATAATTTGCTGATTCGTTAGAAGGATTGAAATTAATACGCGAATATAATGAGTTTCCTGAGCAAAATCCTTTATGAAAACTATTATATCTAGAGCGGCTGCCGTTTTCCGTGCGGGCCCTAATGAATGTGCAGCTAATTAGGATATAAATTTGTTAATTTGCGACCATTTTGTCGTATGGTGTGCGGCGTCGCCGTCTGATCAGTCAGCAGGAAAATAGCTCCATTCATCCTTAATCGAATCTCGGGGCGCAAAAGTGGCGAGAGGGTGGAAGAAGGGTGGTGGATGGTGGAGACAGTGGGGACGGAGGCGGTTGCCGCGTTCTGCTTTGCAGATTCAAATCGGTTTCCTAATGTGCCCAGGCTTCCCGGACACCCCTTCATGGAATCGTATAAATCTCGACTCCCGACGCTCTTTTTCTCTGTATATAAAATATGCTTATTTCACATTCATAGCTGCCATCACTGAAAGCCATTCGATGTTAACACTATGCTAGAGAGAACATTAAAAATGATATTATCAAAAAACGCATCGCAAATCATCTTAACAATATATTTAAAATCAAAATTTTCATTCAGACTAAAACTCTATTTGTCATAGACATATGTTTTACATATTTATTTTGCAATTACAGCTGCTATTTTTCAGGGAACATCATGATTACTAATTACTTTAACGTTATAACACTAGATACTCATGTGTGATTTGCTTTCGTGTGTCCATCATGTGGACTATATAGTCATAGCATTAGCCTTTCGTGAATGATAAATAAAATTTGTAACATTTAGAATTGTTTTTGGCAAGTAATTCATATTAATACAGATTATTAAATAATTAATAATAAAAAAAATTATAATCATAAAAAATTATATAATGTTTAAAACAACTCCGATTTTTGATACGAAGTTGCAATAAAATCATAATGTTCAGGTCATCAAAATATTGACAATACATGAATAAATTTATGAATAGTTAATCAATTGTAATTTTTTATATAACATCATAAGCATTTGGATACATTTTATGGAATGTTTAAACTTCTGGAACACTTAAAAATGTCTCAAAACAGAGTATACTTATCATTAATGACAGAAAAGATTTATGTCGTATTTCTTTTGATATTTCATGCATACATTTGCTACATATTCCACAGCCATCTATTCCACAAATGCTACATAATGATTGTTAAAGTTATTTACTAATTCTAATTCTAAATCTATATTTATTTTATTTAAATCAAAATGTAGTGTTGATTATTTAAAAAAAATGTTATTTGTTTTTATTAATGTATAATATTTCTCTCATTGATGTTGCAGTTGGATTATCTGAGGTTGATGCAGTTCTGGGGCGAAGTGCAACATTACCTTGCGATATAGAACCGAATGTTCGTGAGGATAGGGTCTATATGGTCCTGTGGTATCGCGACAAAGGCAGCAAGCCGATTTATAGGTAAGTGATAAAACTGTAATCGTCTCTGTGAAAAGCAGAAGGAGGATGAAAGAAGAAGGATTCTCGATTGTCATTCATCTTATCACCATAGTCGATTGCTGCAAATCAGTTTCTTTCCTGTTCAAATTTAACTTAGGTCAACTAATTATCTAATGCACATAAACTGTTTAATTGATGATCGATGAATATAATTTATATATGCTCCAGTTGAAAATACATCATTTGCTTTTACCCTAATTCCATTCAAATTAACATACCAAAACAAAAATGAAACTGTTATTGATACAATGTTTTATCATTTCAATTATCTTTAATCATTGCACATGAATTGCTTCATGTTCAACAATAATTATAGTATAGTTTGAATAATTTATTAGAACAATATCACACGACTGAAATATATTTACAGAATATTTAACACGTAAATCCTTTACTTCATTTCATTGATCAAATCATCTGAATCATCGGATGGTTCCTTGGAATCTCTCGCACTGTTAACTGTTATATGACGAACCGATTCCGAACTGTACGATAAAATTGATCAAAAACTAACAGCTGATTTTTTTTATTATAACAGTGACAAAAGTGTTTCAAAACGCTGTATATAAATTTGTGAAAACTGAAATTACTTTTTTGCCAAACTTTATTATTTTTCAATGATATAAATTAACGTTGTTTTCTGAAATTATTTTACAGGAAAATTCATAAACATATATTTAATCACATGATTCAGATTTATAGTAAAATTATTTCAATAAATATTATTATTATATTTAATTGACGATATTATTAATAATGTAATGCATGTAGTAATACCAAATTATAATGGTCTATTATTAAAATTGCATTAGCAAGTTCCATTGTTGCCCTCATTGTTATATAAATTATAATTAATTATTTTCTGTTGTGCATTACAGCATTTTACCATTTTATCAATCCAAATAGATATTGATAAATCATTTTTTTTTACAAATTAATTTATACTCATTAGTCTTCATTTACTTCCATATCATAATTTTTTCTTTATAATCGCATGTACAATTCAAATATATAATAATTTTATTGATTAATTTATTTATAAAAAAAAATATTTTATATATACATTCAATTAACGTAATCGAAATTTCGTAGGCATTTCGCGTGCAAATAAATTACAACTCAAGAAGAAGTTATTGAAGATTTCTTAAACTTTATAATTTAATTTCTTCAAAATAATTTTTGCGCTTATTTGGAGAAAAAATTGAGCATATTTTTTTAACTCCAAAGTTGTATATTAATATAAAATTAAACATTATAATTAATAAAGGAAATCATATTTTCAACTCATTGAATTAATGTATTAAAACAATAATTAAATTACATAAATTAAGTCAAGTAGAGATTTAGTATTTCGATTTGTTAAAATTATATTAATTATTTAAATATATAAAATTGAAATATCAAAAAAAGTTTAGATCTTAACCCTAAGTTGTATATAGTAACTAGTTTTTCGTTTTTAGTTTATCCAATATAATTCTTTAATGTGACATATAACAACTATTAAAAGAACAAGAAAAAAGTATCAAATTTTTGACCTACATCATTGCAAGTTCGCCCCTCCCCAAGCCGTTACCTATGATATCGACCGTGCGTTTTGGGCCACATATAACATGCGCAGGTGGAAATGAACGCTCGTAAAACTACAGCTACAGCTGTTGTATTACATTTTTTTTAGCAACTTTGTTTTATATACACGTCTTTTTATCATTAATCCTGCGTAGGACACCTCCAATCAGCAACAAGAATCTAGGCTCGCTTTAAATTCGACTAGATCGCATCTACTTAAAAGTCAAATAAATCCTCGACGACGAACTCTTGTCAAATAGCGATGGTTGTTGAATGTTACGCGAAGAGCATTATTCGCAATGTGGTTCCGGTACACATGACGAGACATGTATTTTATCGTATATTTCAAAATGTAATTTGCACAGCTCTAACGCGAATCCAGTTAATTGTTTACAAACTCTCGTAAGAGGATTACCGTTCACATTAATTTTATTAAACTTTTCATATGTTGCAATTCCGGTTCGAAATAATTAAAAGGTTTACGATATAATTGTAAATGCAGCCGGGTATTTTGGCATTAACTGTGACCGAATCTAAATTATATTGCATCAAATTTGCACGCTTCTCGTGGCATGTAAATTGCGATAGCTTCTATTTATTTCAAATGTTCAACATTTTGTATGGCGTACTGATGTTGTATGGCATTATTGAAATCCGGTATAATTTCAAATGATGGTTTAAATCAATGCATTAACGTAATTAAATCATTTCAAACTATATTAATCTCCTGCTCCAAAAAATGTATACGCTATGAATCATATACTCAAGAGAATTATGCATAATTTAATTGGATGAATTAATTATTTCAATTATACTACTTTTGATTTTCCACAATTTTATATGAAATTCCCAAACGGGACATAATTTTATTTGGTAAAGCCAAACATTCAAAAATATTAGTTCTTTTTAATTAATGTGATTTATATAGAATTTTCATGAATTTTATTTATTTCTTCTGTACATTATTTCATTAAGATAATAATATCTATTATTTGATACCATGTATCAAATCTCAAGGTTTTCTCATTTCAGATTGGAAATAACTTGTTTTTATATTTACTTAATTCGGAGATCTTTTGGATATTTATATTACAATAATAAGTTTATAAATGACTAATTTTGTGGCACCAATAAATTAATGTTTTCTCAAGCTGTATTATATTATTATATAATAGAAGTAATTAGATAGAAATCATAATCATGTACATATGGTTGTAATTTGAAGGTGCGCTTGAAAGCTTTAGGTCAAGAGGTATCTGTCATTGCAGTGTCAAATGGCATGCGAAATAGTAAGTGCATTCCGTGACATCCCCATTAAAATCCTGTCGCCAAATCGGGAAATGTTGTATGATCGCGTGATGTATACGAATTACGCTGAAGAAAATTTCGTGATCGCTACAACAAACCGCACACACCAACCATACACTATACAACAACAAGCACTTTACCAAATTGCATTTTAAATGTTATTCGAAAATAATAGAATGCGCCAGAAATTTCGTTCCGTAAATGCGAATGGCAACTGTTTATTTTTGTACCTCTTTCCGCTATAGTTACGTCCGGCATAATAATGTAAACCTAATTACTCGCGCCACCATTTGATCCGATGCGTTCGGATTTTTACTACTGCGTCGCCTTTTTATAGCACTTTTATTAATCCCCCTTTTTATTTCGCACTAAATTCCGAAACACCCCAACAGCCGACCGGAATACATATCAGGCAATCTTCTGTCTTCGCACATATTTTTTGCTCTCTCCACAGCACACTCCACCCTCAACATTTCCCGCCCTAACATGATTAGATTACTCACTTGCGTTATTTTTTTTCTCGTATCTCAATACGCTTTTTTGTCCTTCGAAACATATTTCCACATGTTCTGAGGGACATGAAAGTAAATAGAATATGTTCACAGTAAATCAAACATTAAATCTTGCAGATTAGCACTCATTATCTTGATAAAAATATATTTCAAATTTAGTACGATGAAAATATAGAATTGTATAATTCTTCAACTTTTTAAATTGGTCCGTATGGTTTTCATATCGTTCATTGTAACTATAGCATTTTATTTAAGAAAACTAAACTATTGAAGCAAAATGAAAGTAATAATAGGTAGTTATGTGAGAATCCAAAAGCGGATAAATGAAAAAACGTCAAGAGCATCAAACGTATTCTGAGAAAGATTGATTTTATATTACTATTGAATATATATTCAAATAAATTGAGAAAAATATAATCATTAGTTTTTGTTAATGTTTTTAGAACTTTAATGTTCACGGAGAAAATAGGACAAGATTTTAAAGAACTATAACAGTCAAGCTATAAAGACTGCGCTAAATGTCGATAATCCTATTGTTAACGTAAAGAAGTGAAAAGTTTATTGGTCGTTTGGGGATGTTGGCGTCAGACTTGCATAATATCCGTGTTTGTCTCTTAGAATGACGGTCGTTGCGAGAGATCCAAACGTAAGTTCTTGTATATGTAGGTAAGATGTATATGCTCACTGGAGCAAGTATAGGTGTGTGCTGTGGATGTACGTGGGTAAGTATGGATGAGTTCGCGCTTTCCGCAAACGCGATCGTGCCTAGGTGTGTGAAGCTCTGAAACCTGTGTTTGTGCCGAGATTAGGAGATACGGCACGCTGTCAGCTTACGGAGTCCTAGAGACTTAAATGGGAATAGCAAAACACGACCGTAAATTGTGCATTATCAAACAAGACCCCTGACGACCTCCGCCTATGTACCCAAATTACCGATCCCTTATCGAAATTTCCCGCACACACATACATACATACATGTACGCACAGGCAAAAACATCGATATGGAGAAAAAATCTTAGTAGTCTTAGAATTTTCTGAAACCATTGAAGTTCGTTTATACTAGGTCAGTTCGATAAATCAATCTCCAAAGGACGATCTGTAAATATTGCAATAATGCCGGATCCACGTAAACATAATTCTAGAACTTTTAAGTTATTTAGTATGGTGAGGTTATACTCATTTCATTTAGTTAGATATGAATGAGGAGGACGTGACGCGTGATGCAGGTGGATAAATTGATTGGTGTTGAATTATTGATTGAAGACTACAAATATAATAGTAATTTTAATTGAATTTAATACAATATATTAGTTGTAACCTAGATTTTTTTTAGTATACATTAATTTTATAAATATCGTAGATTATTTATTTATAGAAAAATTACGTCTTTGAACCTTTTTACACCTGCGGACAGTCAGAAGATGAAATATTTCTCGGAACGGTTGATGGTTAATATAAATATAAAAACCCATATAGATAGTATGAAATACATAATTTAATGATATTCAAAAAAAAGATAAATTCAAGAAAAATAATCAGTTACAAAATGTGTCATTAAAAAACTTCATTTTCTCC